TACTTCTTAGTTGTTTTGACTTAGTTCTTATGACTTAAATGTTAATTCTTGTTATATAACATTTGTTATTACACGTTTACTTAACCCAAAAACGTGGAGTACAAGGTGGAGGCTACATGTAGTTTCAGAAAAGAAGAAAGTAATATTCTGCCTTTGAATTTACAAACTACAATTAATCAATCAGAACTAAACATATCATTTTAACAATAAACCGTTAGCCAAGCTACACGTCTTTTATAGCTACGGTACATTTAGTTATAACCAGCAACAAAAAGGTCAAAACAAATAAATCACAACAAATAAGCCATAACAAATAAGTCAAAACAAGTAAGTCAGTGTCCCTCCAGGGCTTCCGTAATAATGAGATATAATTGTACTTTATATTTTCACATAGAATAGAAAAGAAACGTTATAGAAATATGTAAAAAGTTTTTACAGACTTAATTATTGATAAAATACACGAAATTTCCCAATCACAAAAGCTTTATTTTCTCATTCTCTCAAAATCTATACTTTTATATCTATTTTGAAATTAAATGCACAAACATGAAAAATTGTAATTGAAAAATTGAATCCACCCATCCACCCCCTCCAAATATAAATTTACTCTAATTTTACCATGTGATAAATTAAATTGAACCTGCAAATGGCTAAAACCAAGAAGGTTTTGTCATATCCCCACTTTCTACGAATTTTGGGTATCGTATGACCTTATAATTAAGAACATCAAAAACCGCTCTGCATGTGGAGAGGATAAACAAAGCAACAACAACAAAAAACAAAAAAAACAACAAAAAAAAAACTGAAGGTTAACTGAATCCAGTCTAATCATTTTAATTAAGTTATATTTCCTAATTCCCCGGCAGTAAAATCGATGTGTTCTGTGTTCCAATGAAAAGCAAATTATTTTCATGCGTTAACAACAATTATTATTTCTTATAATTGGATTAGATCTTAAGGAATTTATATTTAATTGCTGTTATGTGGATTTTTGTTTTCGTTAAAAGCAATGTTCAACTTTTGATATCGTCTTTATCGCATTTTTTAAAACAAAAGCTCAACTGAACTTCTGTTTATTTGCATTTTGTTAACTCTTGCAAATATTAGCATAAATTACCAGTGGGAGGTAAATTTTAATAATATCTATAAATCATTTTAACTTTACAACACCATGTGCTCTTTTAACAATAAGTCCATTTCAATAATACATACATGCTACATTTCATACATTTTTCAACAACTTCTTCTCCTTTTCAAGTATTTTGAAGTCCAAGGATAAAATATGCTGAGAAACTAAACACATACGTAGAAGCTTATGACCGCCAAAGAAGTCATTACACTTCTTTTAAATAAAAAAATCACCCCAAGCTTTCTCTTCAAGCAAGATACCTTCTGTAGTCAGTCTGTCTTGTCATATGGCGTTTCTTAAGCACTCGTAAATTAACTTGACACTTTGAGAAATATACTTATGACAGTTATGAGCAAACGATGAATATATTTTACGATTGTTGTAGCGTAAATTAATATCTACAATGGTGGGGCCAATATGGGTGGTATAGAGATATATACACATACATGTACCTTATCTAATGTTACATACAATAATTCATGCTAATTCTACTCACAATTTAAAAACATGGTATAAATACTTTGCATACAAAAACGCTGAAGTGAACCGTCAACATATACAAAACTTATGTAAATTTTATGGCTTTTTCCGAAGAGGCAAATATAGTTTCTTCTCCACACAAAATTGTTATTGCATAAAAATCATTTATTAATTGTCATTACAATTTGAATAAATTGGGAAAAAATGTAAAGGAAATTTATTGTAAACTTTTTGGTTTTGTTTACAAAATGCAGCTGAATGCTAGCTCAAACGCATTTGGCCATGGCAAAATTGTCTCCAATTTGTAGATTTAGCAATATGTCCATATGCTTGCTTGGATTCCTTTTCAGTTCTGTTTGAAAAGTAAAAATGATAAAAATCTCAATGAATATGACTTGGGAGTTAATTCAGTTCATTTATGGAAGTAGTTAAAATGTATGTATTATTTTATATGAAAAAGTAATTCAACTTGTATATTTTTCATAACAAGTATTTGTTTTTGAAAGAAAATGCTCATGGTGGAATTGTTATCAAGGCAACTGGATGTTACACCTTTACCATATAATTGAAAGAATGACAACTATCTATCATATGTATTGTATGTATAGTTCATACATTATAAAACCAATTGTATCATTGATGTTAGGGTTTAACTGACTGTTACATCGATAGTATAGCAAATTTTAAACATGTAGCTACGTAAAGATTTCATGTAATTAGCTAAAAGAATCACAGCCTGTGTACATTAACTACCTTTACTACCATTATACATCTATAGTTTCGTAAATAAAGTAACAGGATGTGTTCATTTTATTAAGTAAAGGTATAATAGGAGATGTACATGTTATACTAAGTAAAAGTATAAATGAGTTTATTTACATTTGCAAATATTTTTCTTAGATGAACCTATTGAAGAGAAAATATGTTCAATTCTGTATGAACTTATTAGGGGGTCAGAGGTCATGGCGTGACCGAATCACACAGCGAGATGATATCTTGTCTACATATTTCTGTTACGGTGACACTGGTTTCGGAACTTCTAAGCCGTTAAAGCGATGAAAAAGATAAAATAATTGAAACATATATGTTTTTCTTCGTTCAACAAATGATCATTTAGTTCTTTCTTCGGTATGAGGAATGTTTTTAATTAGCCTAAAATCACGCTTACCTTTTTAACCCGAAATTCCTTTGAAGGTATGTAAACTGAAGACGATACCACTGCTTTTGACTTCATATATTAAGAACTCATACACTAATAGTAAGATTATTCTCAGTAGCGATCATGGATTTTTCATTATGAACAGATATTTCCTGAACTGGACTGCTGAACATCAATATGTAAGTATTCAAATGTTGGAGCGAGGCGAACTCTCAAGACCAAACAGCTTCGAGGTCATTGCGCGTCACAACATAGCAATACGGCGGGCCGTTCGTGTAATAAATGCAGACCCCAACAATCTTTTCAGAATATTCGTCTCAAATGTAAATAAAAGTAATAAACAACAATGCTAAAAAGTTCACTGGGAAATGAACTTGGTTGGTACGTGATCAAATCTTCTGAGAAGCCCTTCGGGCTTCACAGGATTTGATCACGTGACCAACCAAGTTCATTTCCCAGAGAACTTTTTAACATTGTTGTTTATTTCTTAAATGTACATGTTACTGGGATATGTACATATTACAAATGAGTATGTACATGTTACTAGGATATGTACATACATGTATTACTAGATAAAAGTAAACAAATTCTGTAAATTTGTACCAGGAAAAAAATATAACAGGATGTGTACACATTGCTAGCTAAAAGTATATAGAGGATATTCAATGTTTTGTAGATGAATATGGAATTTATTTCACGAGTGGGACAGGATTTTTTGATATTTTCACGAGTGCGAAGCACGAGTGAAAATATAAAAAAATCCTGTCTCACGAGTGAAATAAATTCCATATTCATCTACAAAACATTGAATTTTCTGTTTATTACATTTTCTTTGATTTTCCCTTTGCCTCTGTCTTTTCTTAACACAGTGTCATAGGCTTGACGTCATAGTTGAGCGGTTGAGACGTCATAGCTTAGAAGTTGTACATTACATAGCATGAATTTTAGCAACATATTTAGGAAGAAATTTGCAGTTTTAGCTCTATCAAGATACTTAGTTACTATCTCTATCTTATGACAGGCCAGAAATTATTTTTTACTTACTTTGATATCCTTTCACACTGTGAGAGAATATCACTTTTATTCAATAAATAAATCACAGTATTTCACTGTTGGAAATGTAATAAAACAGGATATGCACATATTGCTACGAAAAAGTATAACAGGATGTGTACCTATTGATAAGAAAAAGTATAATAGGATATGTACATAAAACTAGGCAAAATTATAACAGAATGCGTATATATCACCAGGTAAAAGTGGAACAAGGAATGTACATATTACTATGATGTGTATATATTACCAGGTTAAAGTATTACAGGAAGTGTACATATAACCAGAAAAAAAAAAATAGGATATATGTACAGTTTATACGTAAAAGTAACAGGATATGTACAATCTACAAGGTAAAAATATAACAGGATGTGTACATATTACCAGGAAAAAGAATAATAGGATATGTACATATTACTAGGAAAAAGTATAGCAGGATATGCAAATATTTCTAGGTTATAGAATAACAATATATGTACATATTACTAAGTAAAAGTATAATAGGATGCGTTCATATTACTAAGTAAAAGTAGAACAAGGTACATGTATGTACATATTACTAGAATGTGTACATATTACTAAATAAAAGAATAGCAGGATGTTTACACATAATTAGGTTAAGTATAACAGGGTGTGTACATATTACCAGGTTAAAATATATCAGGATGAGTACATATTACTAGCATGTGTATGTGTTACTAGGTTAAAGAATGGCAGTCTGTGTAGATGTAACTAAGTATTTAACTTAATAAATTTATCGATAATTTCACTTAATTCTATTTTCTTAATCTTATAAGTAATCATAATTAAGGTGTATTTGAGGACAAAGATACATGTAATTTTAAATGAACATTTATAACAGAATGAAAAAGAAGTATATTTTGATCAATGTAAAAAGAAATCTGTTTTACTTCACCAATACTGACATTACTTGGGGGAAGTACCGGTAAATATTCTATTTAAAAGTCATTGACGATATACGCTTGAAATACTTGAAAATTAAAGAACCTTACACCTTTTCCGAAAGAACTGTAGATATGCAAAATTCAACAACTACATATATAATTTATATCACATTAAAATCTATTCTTCAGGATAAATAGCCATATTTAACATACAAATTTGCATTAAATTTTGCTAAAATGGTGCAAGGCGTTCACTTTCTCTTTTTATTTACAGACATGGCCTTTTACATTTAGCACTAAAGGAAGTGGCTCGGGTTCGGAAAGCAAATCACCAGAACCTATGAAACTGGACGTTGACGGTGAACATTTGATGACTGCAAATGGCGATGTTTGACGTAACGATTTGTTTTTTTAATCGACATACCCCTGAGGAAATCCATAAATGTTGTTACTGTTGTGTAACGTTGATATTTAATTCAAGTTTGTCCAACCACAAAATGTAAAATAATCCGGTGACTAAATTGTGTTTGAAGGTCTTATTTTGCAAGGCATTGATGGTGTATTGTCTTTATCCAATTTAAATATAGCTACTTGTCTATCTGATGATACATTGCTAGACAGTTACATAATCCAGTGAAAGATGTATTTTTCCTCACAATGATGCAGTAGGAAATCAATACATTTTGCTTTACAAACAGAAAATCAAAGGAACATGCATTTGATGACAGTTTCTATATTTTTTCTTTTTTAGATTTTCTCTCTACTTACTGCTTCAAATTAACATTTAATGTAAATTAGAAAAAGTTATTATCTTATACATTTTAAAACTTTACAGATCTCTGTATAAAAGTGAGACGAGCAATTTTTTTCGTAATACATGTATGGTTTATATTCGTCAAAAATGCTTGTTTGACAATTTACACACTAGAAGCTGACGCAAATATAATTTAAGTATAAATATGAATGTATTAAAATATATTAGCTATTGAAATATTATATGATACTAATATTTTACATTTTTTATAGAAATAATTCACGCCATGTAAATCATTTAGACTTTGCATTTCAGGAATTAATCGATTGATTCTCTATTATGCCAATGTAAATCATTTTCTACATTCGTTTAAGTTACTGGTCATCATCATTCATAAATATTTTTGTAAGCTGTTCTCTTCAAATGCGGACGAAATAGAGGAAATAAATGGTTTATTGAAGAATCAGCTGTTATGTTTGCTAAGAATACATGTACATGCAGGCCTTACTTGCAATCTATTACAAGATCTACAGCTGTATGTTGAACTGGAGAATGTTTATGTACAATTGGGTAACTTTCATCTTCTTGTATAAAATTATGGAGGTCCCTTTATGTATAGATCAGTGATGATATGATGTGAATTTCTCACATTTATTAATACTGCAAAACTCCGAGTCTTTTCTCTTAAACATTCAAAGAAACTGTTAGTTTATCTTTGACTTGGGGTATACAAGACAGAAAAATAATGTAATCATTTCTTAATTATTTATTGAGAAAGTATCCCCGAGTGTTTCAAAGTATGAGATAAAATACTTGAAATGAGGAGGGAACGATAGTGAATGTACTGCTTTTTCATCACCATGTGTAGGACTTCTTTCGGCACCTCTGAGAAGGAACACCTGTTGCAACATCTGCTATGAAGATACGTGAGACCTACCGAAGGGTCGTTGGTCTGAAATATAGGAGTTATTTGAAAAGCTCATTTTTAGCAGCTTTGAATGCACTTTGAGATATGTACCCATACCTAAATTACATGTTTAAAATTTATGATTCATATAACAGGGGGTGTTTATACCCTCGATACACCGCACAATAAAGGGTCCTAATTCCATAGTATTTTGATGCAGTTAGAGTTAACTGCCATTAGATCTAAGATGAAATAAAGTGAAACGTAAAATTATTACTCAAATTGAAATCTATTCAAGCATTCTAAACAATTCATTTGGCTTAGATAAATTCATTTTAATAAACACTTTATTTGCATGTACTTTTTTCCATTTAAGTAAGCAACAGTGTTTTCTATTCACATACACTTCACTGTCTTTGGACATTTTTCTGGCAATTACCCTTATTGAAAATTAAATATATAGTTTCATATTTACATCTTCATACAGCTTCTTTAAATAAAAAATTACTAGATCGAATAATATAGTAAACTAGAGCCGAGCTCGTTGCAATGCAACGAATAGGTCTTCCGTCGGAGCTCTGGACAGGACAGAGCGACCTTGAGTCAAGGTCATGCAACATTTTAAGGTTATAAACAATCCTGTAAGGGGCATCAACTTTCAATGTTTCAACAGTAGAAAGACAGCAAAGGAATGTAAAGTTCCCCTGTCAGTGAACTTGAACTTGTCCAAATAACTTTGCGTCAAGTCATGACACATTCTGCAGCTTGTTAAGAGCAAACACCATCTTTATGTCACCGACATAAAAAAAAAAATCACAGTCACGTATTCTTTCAGACTATTCATCCAAAACATCATATTCTAAGTGACCTCGTATTTAAGTCAAGGCCATTACACACTCTGGATGATATATTTATCATCTTTTCAGTGAAATGCAAATGCATGCAATTTTTTCTATTACAAAAGTATAGACCTTTTTGTTTATTTGTTTGTATGTTGTTTAACGCCCCTTTCGAGAATTTTTCAATCATATGGAGACGCCACCATTTGCCGATGGAGATCTGCAAATTTTGACCTATACTCGGCACACATGGCCGTTTAGCAGTGAGGGATCTTTTTCGTGCCAGCACCTACTGCCAGACGGGACCTCAGTTTGTACGGTCTCATCCGAAGGATCAGTCTCTGCGTCCCACAGTGGGATTCGAACCTGCGACGTAAGGATCAACTCCATAATCCACGACTCTAGAGCAGACACTCTTACCACTGCGCCACGTGGGCGACTAGACCTTTTTGAATTTTACACTTATTATATCAGTGACCTTGAACTTGCCTAAATGACCTATGTTAAGGTCAAAAACAACCTTTGAACAAATTATGAGCTTCCAGTGATACCCAATGACAAAGATATACCTGAAAAAGAATATTGCACTTTTCTGTCAGTGACCTTGAACTTGCCAGAAAGACCTTGGATCAAGGTCAAAACACATTCTTGGATCATAAGCAATCTCTGTATCAAGTAAAAGCTTCCAGTGATTTTATATAACAAAGTTATAGCATGTGGAAAAAAAAAATATTTATCTGCCAGTGACCTTGAACTTGCCGAAAAAACCTTTGTTCAAGGTCAGGAAAACCCATCTCAAGCAATCTGAGAAAAAGTTTCCTGTGTTCCTCCCACCCCTTATAAATTTATAATCCAGGCACGAATTTTGCCACTTCTTCTGCCAGTCTAGTACTATGTTATCTCAAACCAGTGGATCATAAGCAATCTTTGTTCCAAGTATGAGCTTCAAAAGTTATAACACATACAGTAATCTTACAGTTTTCTGTCAGTGACCTTGAACTTACAGGAATGACCTTGGATGAAAGTCGTGTCAAACCCTTTAATTTTGTCATGAGCAATTTCTGTATCAAGTATGATACTTGCTATTTTTTTCCAATGACCTTGAACTTGCTGGAATGATGTTGGATCAAAACCATGACACACCTTCGGATCATTAGTAATCTTTGTACCAAGTATGACCTTCCAGTTTCTTCATAACAAAGTTATAATATCCTTGGCGAACTATCACGTACACACGGACAGCTAGGCAGACGGACAGTGTGATTCCGAAAGACTCAAAACACCCCCACCCCAAACCCACACACTTCGTTTGGGGGGATATATAAATTCCTTTGTTAAATTATGAACACTCTTTCCGGCCCAAACCTTCTCCCTGGAATCAATATTTGAAAAAAGAAAAAAATGAATGTATGCTATGTTGGAAATTTTCTCATTCTAGTCCAGGGATTCTTGAGAATACTATTTTCAAATGACCCCATGCGCGGATCTAGAGGGGGTTGGGGGCAGTTAAATGTATATACTAAACAAGAGGCCCATGGGCCACATCGCTCACCTGAGTAACTTTGGCCATGCTGTTCATTACCAGACTTCCCCCCTTGTAATACCTATTGTGGCCCCACCCTACCCCCAGGGGCCATGATTTGAACAATTTAGAATCTACACTACCCCAGGATGCTTCCACATAAGTTTCAGTTTTTCTGGTCCAGTGGTTCTTGAGAAGATTTTTAAAGATTTTTCCTATATATTTCAATGTAAAACTTGTATTTCCTATTGTGGCCTCGCCCTACCCCCGGGGGTCATGATTTGAACAATTTAGAGTCTACACTACCCCAGGATGCTTCCAAAAAAAGTTTCAGCTTTTCTGGCTCAGTGGTTCTTGAGAAGAAGATTTTTAAAGATTTTTCCTATATATTTCTAAGTAAAACTTGTATTTCCTATTGTGGCCCAGTCCTGTCCCTGGGGGTCATGATTTGAACAATTTAGAATCTACACTACACCAGGATGCTTCCACATAAGTTTCAGCTTTTCTGGCCCAGTGGTTCTTGAGAAGAAGATTTTTAATGTAAAACGTGTATTTCCTATTGTGGCCACGCCCTACCCCCGGGGGTCATGATTTGAACAATTTAGAATCTACACTACCCCAGGATGCTTCCACATAAGTTTCAGCTTTTCTGGCCCAGTGGTTCTTGAGAAGGAGATTTTTAAAGTTTTTTCCTATATATTTCAATGTAAAACTTGTATTCCCTATTGTGGCCTCGCCCTACCCCCAGTGGTCATGATTTGAACAATTTAAAATCTACACTACCCCAGGATGCTTCCACATAAGTTTCAGCTTTTCTAGCCCAGTGGTTCTTGAGAAGAAGATTTTAAAAGATTTTTCCTATATATTTCAATGTAAAACTTGGATTCCCTATTGTGGCCCCGCCCTACCCCCGGGGGTCATGACTTCAGCTTTTCTGGCTCAGTGGTTCTTGAGAAGAAGATTTTTTAATGACCCCACCCTATTTTTGTCTTTTCTTGATTATCTCCCCTTGTAAGGGAACTTGGTCCTTTATTTTAAAAAAAATTAACTCCCCTTCCCCCAAGAATACTTCATACCAAGTTTGGTTAAAATTGGCCCAGCGGTTCTTGAGAAGAAGTTGAAAATGTGAAAAGTTTACAGACAGACGGACGGACAGACAGACGGACGGACGACGGACGATCAGAAAAGCTCACTTGAGCTTTCAGCTCAGGTGAGCTAACAAGTAAAACTGACCATGCCCCCCCCCCCCTTTAGAAAACACGGACCCTTCCTCGAAAACGCGGATCTGTGTTAAAATGGTATGAAAAGTCTTAGGTATGAAGCTTTAAAAGTCAATGACCCCCCCCCTCCCCCATACACACACACAAACACACACACGAAATAGGATTTCACGTTTGGGAAAAGAGTTTCTTTTTTTTTTTTGGCTCGTCAAGAAATTTCTGGGTTGAAATATTTTTTTTTTATTGGGATCCCCTCCTCTCCCCCCCCCCCTCCGTGGAAAAAAATTCCTTGATCTGCGCCTGGACCCCATCTAACTTTTTCTACATGTATCCGTTAAAAGAGGATGTGACCCTTCATTTGAACAAAACTTTACCAAAAATATTCTGTGTTAATTTTCGTTGTTATGGTCCAGTGGTTCTTGATAAGATAAAAATGAGAAAAATTTACGAGTAGCTTTAGAACAACAACGACGATAATGCTTATATACACCAATATAGCAAACAAAGATGAAGAATTATGAACAGCAAAAGCTTACTTGGGTCTTTGGCTTGGGAGATGAGATACTTATTAAAAATTGAAATTATTTTGTCATTTTTTCTTTTTACAATCGACGGGCCTGCATTTCAAAGAGAGAGAGAGAGAGAGAGAGAGAGAGAGAGAATTTCTAGCTAGGTCTTTGAATAACAGTGAGATCGCTTCAGAAAACCAGGTCCCTAAGAATGTACATGTATATAAAATAGGCAGTGCCTTTCTCTCGGAATTCATCACCTGCTTCTATAAAGCTCCATCCTCACTTGTACTGACATGTACCTGGTAAAACCAGTAAGAACCACTTTATTTTAAAAAACAAATAATCGTCCTATTATTGGCGCCCATGATATATAAGACTAGGTGTTTAAATAAAACATAATTCAGATATCGACATCCAAGAGAACAACACATTCTTTTTCAGTGGCGGAAACAGGAATCTTGAAAAG